TCTTTTACAATTGTATTATATGTATAGAATTAAGCTTGAGAACAGCAAAATCGAAGCACATAGTTGCACTTATAGTTCATTCGGCAGGGAAAAGAAGTTGATATGTAAGCGGGTCATTTCCAAACGAAGTGCTATTTTTTGTCCCCCCTTTCTAAATTTTTTTATGGTGGTAAAAACAAAAAATCAAAAACAGCATTATACGATCCAAATAATAAGCCACTAACAAAGCTGTTTTTTATTATTGTAAGTCGTTTTGTTTTCTTTTGCGAACGGTATTTCTTTGATATATTTTGCGTACTTCATATAAAAATATATATTCCCGCTCAAGTTATTCGATAATCAACATGAAAAAAATGTTTAAGCAAAGAAACAATGAAAAAAGGCCTAACTGTTTGTGAATAACCACCTTAACCTTTATTGTTTTATTATATTTTCGGCTGAAAAATTTTATCAACATATGCGTTGCTTTCTATTATATCCTTGTTTATATGTTTTTGTGAAATAAAACTGCTAGAAAAAAAAACAAAAAATGTGAAATATTCCAAAAATGTCACTTTTAGGTGAAGAGGGATTTTTCATTTAAAAGGCATATATGGGAAATTGTTGCCGAAGAAAGATTAATCAAAAAGCCTGCCTCCCAAGAAAAACCATGACATAAAACCATGAAAAATGTCTTGAAGAAGGTGGAAAAAATTCAACATTAGCTTATGTAATAAAAGAGATTCAAAGTGATATGCAAATGTTTAAAAGTCATGCATGTACATATCATTAAATCGTTAATAGTACCCGTTAGAGATGAGTTGGGGACTAATTGATCTCCAATTATACCCATAAGGGATGAGTCGAGACTAATTGACCTCCATTAGTACCCTTATGAGACTAGGCCTAATTAATGCCCAATTGTACCGGATTGAGAGTAATCTCGGAATACTCTCTTTAGAGATTAGTCGCACAATTTTTTGAAGCGTACATACTAAACTCCTGCGCAATTCCATTTCAACGGCCTAACAAGACATCCGATCGCCGCGCAAATACTTTCCCTCCTTTACTCTTATCGTTCGGGTCAAGTGTGAGTAAGCATAAAACAGTTTCTGCAAGCGTACGTAAACTACCGATCAATAGCAAGACGCGTAAAATATTTACTTTGCCTTCCGCAACTACTGCGAGTAAAAGGTATTTGACAGTAGAGTACTCTACTGGTAGTACTTGAGTATTTTCGAAAAAAACATACTTTTGTGGTATTTGAATAAAACTAAGGACAGGAATGTAGTGGAGCGATAAATAGAGCGACGAGCAAACCGTACATTCAACTAAAATGCTGATATACATACCTTAGTACATATGTATGTATGTGCATAGATACATATATATATAAGTGTCCGCATATATTTTTTTCTTGTCTCTTGATCTGTCGCTTCACTGCAGCAAAACCAAGTTGTGGGGAAAACCCTGCCGATATGCGTAAAATTGAAACCATGGGTTTGAAGTTAGCGCAAATTGATGTCAAAATTTCAATTTCATGTTAAATATATTTATGCATGCATGTACATATGTACATATGTAAAAATGTAGTTTCGATTTAAAAAAATCGGATAAAGTTTTTCTTTCGCCATATATACACCTCTGATTTTAGTATTTATTAAAAAAAACTCAATGGAATTCAAAAACTATCTCTTGCATTTGGTTTTACTCAATACCGATTTGAGCTGTCGCACAGTGTTATCAAAAAAAAAAGCTATCAATGGGTAGGTTCAGAAGGCGCAGCAGTTGAACGCAACCTTTGCTAAAAAAAACAGTGATCGTTATGCGTCTTCTGAACGACTTCATACATTAGCTGTCAAATTCAACTCTCAAAGGTACACACCAACATGTTGTCTCAAATGATCAGAAAAATATTACGATCATCTAACACGCAACTATTCAGTTGATCAGAAGTACGCAACAACGCGTTCAGAATGTGCAATCGCACCAGTTACTGAGCTGTTTCGCCTTCTGAACGTGCCCAATGAAAATTCGTTTCTCTTGAAATCAAGTTATATAGATATAAAGGCTCGCAAGAAAAACTAAAAATTCATATTTTTTTTTAATTTGGTTCTATAAAAAATTTCTTAAATCAGTATGCAGCTCTTAAGAAAAAAATGCTCGTACATCTCGTCGCTACCATGTCCAACTATCGAATGTGAAAATCGGCACTTTTCAAAATTTTGATTTGCCACTAATAATTTTATTTCGTATAGCAGCATTGCTTAAGCTGTTGTTTTTGACAACTTATTTGTTGGTTAATGACTGCAAATAGTTTTATAGAAAATTAGAAACGAGAAATAATACTTTCATAAAAATATAAGTACATAATAGATTTAAAAAGCTGCTTGAATACAAAAGTTGTATGAAAATGTCACATTAAACAACTGTCTAAATCAACGCTATTTTTTATAAATAAGGCCGTAAACATTTCCTTACACCGTCAATTTCCATATACTATTTTTACTCTTTCAATTTCACTGACCAGCGCCGCAAACGATATCAACTAGTAGGCTAACAACCAGAATTGAAATTTAATACGCAAGTACTTCCAGTACTACAAGTATACAGAGAGTAGATTTGCTACTCCATTTTGGAAGCAGCAAATATCTCTCGTACGCGATGAGAGAAAGTAGAGTACCTGGTGGTGGAGTAATAGCAAGTACGTGAAGTATTTACTCTCTCAACGCCAAGTAGTGTATATATGCGGAAAAAGAGTAACAATGTGTTGGAAGTAGAGCAAGGCATAACAACCCTGCAGTAAATTGCGCTAGTTCAGGACTAGCGCAGAACTAGCTCTTTAAGAGGCGGTACTGGTTCTCGATCTATCCCAACGCAATGCTTTCAACTGTCTCTTTTTACATGGCGATGTCCTACGAAGTGGAATTTCCCCCCTCTGCAGAACTTTCGAACTAGTTCTGAACTGGTTCCATTTTCGACAGTCCTGGGACAGTAAGTTTTTCTATGAGAAAAAATTTTAAAACTCGATTATTAGATTATTTTTATATTCTAAACTGGTTCAATTTTAGACAGATCTGCGACAATAAGTTTTTTATTAAAAAAATTTCTGATTATTCGATTTTTTGATATTTTTTCGTTTTTTCTGTTCTTTTACAGATTGCATTTTATTAAATTTTTATTATTTTTTTTATATTATTTGATCACATTCTCTTCATTTTTTAAGCGGCACTCAATTAATTTAAATTTCTTAAATCTGAAAATCACAACTGCCTCCTCCGCGATTTGAACTCGTGACCAACGATATTAGAGTCGGAGGTCTTCCCGCTGAGCTATTTTCGTATTGTACGAGAAGTGAGAATTTGTGCATTTACTTCTCAACAGAGCGCAACTAACCCACCGAGAGTTTCAACTGTCCCTCTCTGCAGCCGTTTTGCACTAGTTCAGAGATGGTTCTGAAATGTGTAGGGCGGAACTAGCACTTTAAGAGACTGTCTCTAAATTTTACTGCAGGGAAGGTAGAAGTGATTTCGACATTTCTCTCGTTTGAACTGCGACTGATATGTCAACTCTTAACCCTATATCTACTATTCAAAATTTTTTTTTTATATAAATTTACAATTGTGACCTGTGCGACTAATTTTAAATACATAATAAAATGAAAAGGAATTGCGAGCGGTGCGTTGTGTTTGTAAGAGCCTGGACAAAAAACTTGTGCGTTATTTTAAACCTTCGAATTGTCAAGTGAAGCGACAACCGTGGGCAAATTGCTGCGATGTTTCATTAGGAGATNACTGATATGTCAACTCTTAACCCTATATCTACTATTCAAAATTTTTTTTTTATATAAATTTACAATTGTGACCTGTGCGACTAATTTTAAATACATAATAAAATGAAAAGGAATTGCGAGCGGTGCGTTGTGTTTGTAAGAGCCTGGACAAAAAACTTGTGCGTTATTTTAAACCTTCGAATTGTCAAGTGAAGCGACAACCGTGGGCAAATTGCTGCGATGTTTCATTAGGAGATTCTTCACGTGGGGTCGTGACTTTATTTGTTGCCTATCGCAGCCGAGTATTTCTAAGTGGACGAGTTTGGTCCAAGGTGCAGGATTTATCATGACTATGAAAAGAAATCTCCCTTTCATATACATACATGGATAGGCCAAATTTCAAATGGTGGTCTGATAAAACCTAAACCAGTATTCCTTGTTGACATAAAGAAACTGAAAGTAAATTTCGAATAGCAAAAATTTATTAGCTAAATTATTGAAGTTAAGTTCTGATGTAAATTTAGAAGAATCAAACTTCTTTAATGTCTATTATACCTTAGAATTAAGTATTTGAATAAAAAAAATAAATGCTCAAAAACATTGGGATAGTAAAAGCAAGAAAATTGTCAAAACGGTTTTATAAATGAGTGTATAACACATCATGTCCCATCACTGATTTGATTACATGTATATATTTTTCGTATTCAGTGGCATCATTTGTTTCTTGAGTAGTTTTTGTTATTCTGTCGTTTTCTCTGTTGTTTCGTAGCGCTGCACATTGGCAGGCATAACATATAAATTGTAATTTGCTTATTATTATTCTTTGTGTAAGAAATAATTTTTAATTGAATTGCTGTTGGATTTTTGGAGCGGCCAGCGAGTGGCCGGCCGTCTGAATGTATCAAGGATTCTGATACATTTTTGGTGCCTCCTGTGAGGAGCAATTTTGAAGTGCGACGGTGCATTCACGAACAAGCGATCGAGGAAGTCTCGCTTGGATTAGCAGTGCATCATCCAGCTGGAGTTACCGAAAAGGGCTCCACAGATTTAGTTTCGTGTAACGGAGTACTGAGACTTTGCCAGAAGTGCGGCAATAGCGGTGGTTTGTTGTCGCTTCTAGGTGACACAACAACAACTCGTGAGCCGTTCAGAATTAACTGTTCAATAAGCCGCTAATCAACGTTTGCTTTGTGGCGTGATTAGGCAGATATCATTTTGTGGAAAAAAACTGTACAACATATATTGCGGTATGACTTCTTTGAATTTACGTACTTCAGCGAAGTCATCGATTACGCGGATTTTTAATACGGTTCATACAGAGGACTATAGTCTAGATCAGGTCGAAATTGAGCACATTCTTGGAATGGTGCAGCAGTACTGGGATCGGTTCGTTGAACATCATTTGGATTTAGTCGCTGGGTCGTCAGATATTCCTACTCACGATACGCTGTACGCTAGCACGGAAGAGCAATTCAACAAAGTTTGCATTAAATTACGTCGCTTGCTATTGAAATGCACTCCTGTTGAGCATGACTCCGTGCGGACCCAAGCAGTGGATTTGCGGCTAGATCCTGTTTCCATACCACCCTTCGATGGCCAGGTGGAGAACTGGCTTGTGTTTAAAGACATGTTCGAGACAATGGTCCACCAACGGACAGATCTCGAGCCAACATACAAGCTTAGTAAATTGCGTCAGTATGTCAAGCCTGAAAGTGTCCCAATGGTCACTGGGTTTTATACTGGAGGATATGAAGAGGTTTGGGCGGAACTGAAGCGTCGCTATGACAACCCCTATCTGCTGTCAGAAACCCATGTGCAACGTATACTAGCTTTGCCAACTGATCCACGCGACACACAGAAGGTGCTCCGGGATATCATCGACTGTGTACGTAACAGCTTTCGTGCATTATCTGTCATGGGGTTGCCGGTAACACAATGGGATGCGCTTGCGATTCCAATATTGTTGCCAAAGCTGCCGGTAGCAGCAAGAAATGATTGGGGCATGAGCCTCAAAGACAACGATATTCCCAGATTGGAAGATTTATTGAGTTTCATCGAGCGTCGCGCGATGAATATGCCGGCTGCATCGTCTGTATCGCAGGGTGTGAGAGCACACCTAGCGTCTGCACAAGCGAACGGTGCGAATACTTCAAGTTGTCCACATTGTTCGGAGAACCATCGTCTTGCCAAATGTCATCGCTGGCGGAATCTTGCAGTAACGTCTCGTTGGGAGACCGTTCGACGTTTGTGCCTTTGCTTCAACTGCCTGCGTGACGGCCATGTCACGCGTGATTGTTCAGCGGGAGTTTTTACGGTTTGCCGCCAAAAACATCCTACACTTCTTTGTGGCAGTCCGACTGTTGGTGCGGGTACTAGCATGGCCGCCACTTCCCACCAAATGGAGTCATCGAATTTTAAGCCAGAACCTACAGTATCGCAGCCTCAGGTCTTCCCACGCAGTGAACAACAGTCAAATGTAGTTCAATCCTTCTTGGTTCATGGTGATCACGTCGTGTTGTTAGCCACTGCGCAGGTTTTGCTCGTTGATCATCAGGGTAACCTACATAAATGCAGAGCTTTGTGTGATATGGGATGTCAGGTGAGCTTTTTATCAGAATCTATGTTTCATCGTTTGAATCTTCGTAGAAGATGCTGTGTCATGACTATTGAAGGCGTCGGCCAAAACTCAGCGTACACTAAAGTCGTTACCACCCTTAACCTGCATTCGAAGATTGATGAAGGGCTCGACATTAGTTTCGACGCTTACATTTTGAATACGATCACTTCATCGACACCCGCGATTCCTGTAAACACAGCCGCCTATGAGTACTTAAGTGGTCTACAACTGGCTGACCCTACATTTGGTTTACCGGGGTGCATCGATTTGCTTATCGGTGCTGACATTTGGAGCACCATCCTCCAAGATGGAGTGGTATCAGAAGGCTGTGATAAACCATGTGCATTGCGTACTCGACTCGGGTGGATTGTGTTGGGCCCGACTAATGCCAAATCACACGAATCCAAGCCTCAGTCCTTAAGTAGCAAACTGAAAGACCATGATCTTGATGGGCTTCTTCGAAAATTTTGGGATGCGGAAGAACCACCTGAAGGCAGCTATGTGGAGGACTGCGAGCAAATATTTCTGGACACGTTTTCGAGGAATACCGATGGTCGATATGTCGTACAAATTTTATTCCGATTCAACGCTCCGGCACTTGCAAATTCCCATCGTGGTGCACTTCGTCAATTCTTTAGTTTAGAGCGAAAACTGGATGGAGATGCGGATCTTCGTAACAGGTATATCCAGTTTATGCGGGAGTATGAGCAGCTTGGTCATATGCAGCACATCCCGGAGAGAGAAGTTAACTACGACCAATGCTACTATATCCCACATCATGCTGTGACTGCGAAATTCCGTGTGGTGTTTAATGCTTCGGCTAAATCGAGCAATGGCATATCATTGAGCGACACGCAACTTGTTGGTAACCAATTGCAGGACAATCTCGTCCACATCCTTCACAGATTTCGACGGTTTCAAGTTGCCATTAAGGCGGACGTGGAGAAGATGATCCGTCAGGTTGAGGTGGATAAAAGGCATCGCAAAAGGCAGCCGATTCTCTGGCGGGAGTCACCAAGCGAACAGATCCGCACCTACCAATTAAATACGCTCTATTTACTCGCCGGCGTCTTGAAATTGTTAAGGCGCTCGCACGTAAAGAAAATAAGTGATAAAAAAACAACAGCGTATTAGTATTTAATGATTAACAATAATAACAAATGTTTGCTTTATTTGTTGAGACAAAATGTTTAATAAAACAGAGTGAATTTAACTATAAATTTTGCTAATAGCTTGATGAAATTACCTTGCTGACGTGGTGTGGTGGCTGGCAGTCGCTCTGCTGGTCTTCTAGGAAGTGATGGAGTGCCAATAAACGAAAACGGGTTTGAGCCCGCCGAACAGTAACCTTCGTTGAGTTTCCCCTCAACTCAGTTACCGTACGGCGGGGCATACTGTTAACGGCTGGAATGTTAGCCGTATCTTATATATGTGTGTGTGCACTCAGATACAAAATTATTTAACGCANGCCTCCTCGACCTGCTGAGCCCATGACTTATAAGGCTCTTCTATGTGGATGGATAAGACACCCTGGGAACTGTTGTCATCATCCTCTATATTACGTGCTGGCTGCCTCCAGTTATCGTTGGTCTTGATATGGAGCGAAGTATGATGCTTCTCACGGCACCTGTGACATCTGTCGGCGCTAGCACAATTTTCCAGACGGTGGAATGGCGAGAGGCAGTTCGGGCAGTAGCGGTGTATGAGGATCGCTCGCAGTCGTTCTTCTGCCGTCTTACCACGGTAGATGGGGCAAAGTCTTATGCCGTGGTCTTTGTCGCACAAGCGACAGGCGATTGGAAACTCCTCCGAGCTCCTCTCAGTTTTAGAGCGCAGGGCTGAGAATCGGGTCATTCTGCAATTTGTAGTATTTGGTTGACCAAAATTCTGTTTTGCTTTGAATTTATTATGGTTGGGTGGCAAGTGGTGGGTATTCGTGCATTTGCTATCGTACATATGTATAGAAATTTTACATAAAATATTTATATGCGTCTAACTCCAGCATTATAAATTCCCTATGAAGTGCCTGGTGTAGCCGTAGCATTACTGTGCTGCTATTCAGGATTTTTCTAGGTGGCGCTCGTGATATTGAGCGACGTCCCAGTGTTATATTTACGCGCTGGTGCCTTTGGAATTTAAGGCGCTCGCGCACAAAAAAAAAATAGATGAGAATATATATGTATATGTATGGGGAGGCATGAATATTATCTTATTTCGTGGTTTCCATTTCTAATTCTTTATTTGTCTTATATCGATGCATAAACTTAATCATTTTAAACTTCATAATTCATTCGGGGCTAATTCAATGCCACGCAGTGTATAATTAATTCGAGGCTAATTCAATGCCACGCAGTGTATACTGACAGAATAAATCGCCAATATCGTAGAAAATGGGTTAAAACATTATTGTGGTGTTTTGTTATTAAGCACCATAGCCTCCTACCCAAAAGAAAAAAAATTCCCATTATTTTTCATAATGGTGCGATACTTGACTAAACCGATTCATAAAGAATTCAGTGTTGCCACAAATATTTTTAGTTTTTTTTTTTTGGAATTTTTACCAAATCTCAAAAAAAAATTACCAAACTTTTATAACATTTGTATATATAGATAATTATTTTGGCAGCGACGGAACTAACACCACGCCTGGAATTGTGGCCAGCTTAGATCTATTCATATTTTTTGAGTGAAATATCAGTTCTTCCTCGTCTTCTGTGGTAAACTCATAAAATTCATGATGCCGCTGCCGCGTTCAAAAAATAAATATCACCATCAACAGAGCGTTTGGATAATGAAGATGAACAATTTACTTCAACAACTTTCAAAAAAAAAAAGGGGTTTTTTTTTTTTTTTTTTCGCAGTTTATTATTAAGTTGTGCACCTGACAACCAGATGGTGCTGCTTGCCACATTCTTATGAAGGCTCGCATTTCGCCCAATCACGTATGTCAAACTTTGAGCTAATACCGTATGTCAAAGTTTGACACAGCAATAACTTCCTGAATGACTGAAAATTTCATTCTGGATTTGGCACGTGGTAAGTTTGTAGTGATTATTTATTTAGTAGTGTTATTCAATTCATTCATTTCATTTTCAGATACCCAGAAAATACCAAGAATTGGGACCGGCCTCTGCGAAGCATTCGTTTTTCATGCTTTCGACAATTTCGTTGTTTCAATGTTTTTCTGAAAGCGATAAGTGTTTTTATTGAATAATAACAACGGCAAGTGTTATGGACAATTTCAATTAAAATACTGCTTTATATATGCATCGAAAATATATTTAGATCCCCAAAATCTGATAGCAGATAGCATCTATAGATTGTGATTGCCTCCGCGACATAGCAAAAATGTCTTCCTCGTTGTCCATGGTAGAGGCACTTTTGCAATAATTCCACCACCCAGCCACGCCTAATATACGAAAACGTGAAATTGAAACAGAACTTATTGCCTTCAAAGGACAACCAAGCGCTTGGCAAATCAGTCTACAGGTGGCTGCTTCTATTGAAACAAAGCAATATCTCTGGTTTTTCAGTACATCAACTCTAGAGCATTGGATTTCACGTCGGTGGTCACCTTTGACTGCTAGCGAGAGAACTTTACTGCGTGAAACATTATGGAATACATATGCAAGTTTATCAATGGCAAATGTGTCTCGCCGACGACGTGATACATTCGCACAATTAATTGCGCTCATAGGAAAACGTGAGTTCCCCGACGATCATCCTAACTATGTAATTCACTGTTTTGAACTAATCCGATCGGAAAAGTTCGTGCTCGGTATCACTCTGCTGCACATCACTTCAGAAGAGGTAGTCAACCATCGCGACTGCGTAACAACGGAGCGTCAAAACTATTTTCACTCACACTCTGGAAGCAATATCCCCGCGTCACTCTCTAGCAGCTTCACCCATCACCACCAATCTGTTATTGCTGTTGGGCGATACACCAATGTTAGTACGCCCTGTGCCCAGCATTGTGGCAAAACCCATGTGGCTGAAAGCGCATCAGTGGGGCTTCGGTTCTATTATTAAGTATACGAATTACACTAAATGTTTGCTTTGGTATGAATGATGACTCCTGATGTAAAACCAAATGCAATTCATGCCCAAAAACGGTCATTATATATTGGGGATGTGGATCCCATATTTGACTAGATTTACTACGAAATGTGCCCGTTTCATCGAAGGCGGAATATAAATCACTAATTTTATTGCGATTCGACTCATAGAGCATATCATCTTCGCTTAATGTGGAATTATGCACCTTTCGTGGCGTAACAAAGTCACTGATGAAATCATCGGGAATGCTATTATTGATGTCGCCAATATCATCTGTGATATCCTCTTCTTCGATGCTGATAAACTTTTGACCTGACCGGCTTTAATGGATTTGGCACGTGGTAAGTTTGTAGTAATTATTAAATTACTAGTGTCATACATTAGTTGCGTTCCCCAACTCGCACGAAGTTGCAAGAATGTAAAGGAATCTACCAGAAAGCGTTCCCGTAATCGGTTCTCTGGCTTCTTTTCCCTTTTGACAGTTTTACAGGTTTTAACCCTGAAAAGTTGGGGAACGCAACTTTTATCACTATTGCCAAATTGGTGCTTTTCGCGAAAATTTTAGAGTTTAGTGCTTGGTGCGTTTTCATTGGTACTTTGTTTTTAGTTTGAAGACACCAAATCTGTAAATCTTAACCAAAGGTTTGTTCGGCAAGCTACTCGAAGTCAATTCGTGTTACACATACGCGTTCCACCAGTACCTTTTTAAGTTTCTTTGATATACGCTGACAGTTTGAACTTTGCTCCCGTTTTTGTTCAAGTAGCTTGGGGAGCAAACCTAAAAATGGGTCAAAATTTATAGCAATCGTAAGTTTTGTAAGAAACTTCCCAGGAATCAAAACAAAATAGTGTTTACTGGTGAACATTGAACATTCACTTTCTTTTTTTCTTCTATGGAGGCAACATGAATTTCGGTTTGTTTACAAAGAAAACATAAACAAAGTCAACTGGTGTGTCTTCTTCTTCCGGTTTTTGCAAGTAATGGCTAATGGAGTTATTCAGGCATAAAATTAAATTATATAAAAATAATATTAGACTAGGCGAACCAAAAAAACTTCAAAATATTTAAAATACTTTAATCAAAAACGTACGAGGTAGTTAACGAAAATAATGAATTATATTTATGAAAGTAAATGTACCTAGTAAATAAAAATTTATTGAATAAAAAAATACTAATATTCCTAAGCGGTTAAAATGCAAGTAATGGCTAATTTCCTGTTCGTTTACTCTTTTGATTTTGATTGTTGGCTGGTGTTGGCTGATTTTGTTATCGAACGCAACTAATGACAATCATAAGCGAGTGAGCATATGTTTACCAACAATATAGAGAATAATTGCATGACCGGGTGGGATTTGATTTGAAGAGTAGACAGGTTAACGTCGGTTTAATGAAAATATTTGAATTTATAGAAAACAGAATAAATTGGAACGTCGAGCAAAACGCATTGACTTTTATTAATTTGAATCCCTACCATAAAATTTTTTCATGCATTCGAGGTAGAGGGCAGCATGAATTCATTCAAAACGTCATATAGAATATTCATATAAAAAACCAATGAATGAGTTTACCAAAAAAAAAAATTTTTTTTTTTTGAGTTTGAGTGAATACTGTTATGGGTGTCGTCATAACTATATTCAAACGATGAGAAGATAAATTGAATTGAAATAAATGACAAATTTTGTTTATGAATATCCAAAAATATTTTTTTTATTTACATTTGTACAAACGTACATATGTATGTATGTATGTAATTGCTGCGTTCCTATTAAAATACGAAAAACTTGTTTGTAGCAAAAACTATAAACAAAATGAGTTTGACGTATTCCGAATCTCGACTCCCTAGTTGCAGGGCGGGAGTAGAACCAACTTTGCTATTGGTCTGTTATTTGGCCCTTTGCCGTATCAACGTCAACTACACGTATTCGGTTGTCTGGACCAGGGTGTAGTTTGGCTATTCTTCCAAGTCTCCATTCAGTGGGTGGGAGGTTTTCTTCTTTAATGACAACTAGGTCCCTTTGTTTCAAATTGGCTTGTGGATGTTTCCACTTGACGCGTTTCTGCATCTCGGTTAGGT